CGTAGAACTTTTATTCTCAACTTTTGTCACAGTTTGATAAAATATCTTAAAATTTAGAAGATGTGAATTTTCTGTAAGTAAAACTATCACAGTTGATATTAAAGAGTTGTTATCTTATTTCGGGATTTCCGTCTATTTTCGGATAGCCACACCCAATACCGGACAGTAGATTCCGTCGGATTTCTAACGGATCTGTCATATTTACAGATCACTGGTATCCATTGATAATCTTGGTTGGAGAGAGCCATTGTTTTGTTTTTTCCTATGGCACATCGCGATTCCCGTTGAGTCAGGGCTGGAATTTCCGCCATCATTTCAGCGGGATTCCACCCCCTTCTCCGACTCCAAGTTTTGCCGATATTCCTGTCATACGGGGAAAGAGGAGGTCATGATTTTCCGGTCCAGGTTATTTTTAACGCTCAGTTAAAAAAAAGACTTCGTTTTAGTCTTTTCAGCTCTTTTCCATTTCCGCAACTTCATCAATGGACAAAATAAAGCTGCCTCCAAAGGGCAAAGGGCCCTGGGACGAAACAGGCTAGCTAGCCCCAGAAGGCTTTTCGGTGAAATAGAACCCAGTCTCCATCTAACATTGTTTCCGGAGGAGTGGTTAGATACTTGGTGTCTTGACAAACATCGATCGCATCAGTAGTTGTGATCGACTTGAACTGATTTTATTTATTGGAGATTATTACGCCCTGTAACTTTCATTTTCCAAGCGTTTTAAAGCAAGCAATTTTAGAAACCTCAGCGACGAGCTTTTAACTTGTTGGCTTCGTTTGTTTTTGTCCTCCATCACAACAACTTGAAATGGCAGCAGAGTGTGTTACTCGAGTCGAGTTGCACATCTCTTGTAGAGGTTTGCTCGACAGGGACACAACTTCAAAATCCGATCCACTGTGTGCTTTGTATATTCAAGATTCACTTGGAAAGTGGGTTGAGGTGAGTTTTTCCCACTTGTAAAATCGAGGATTCGAAGACTCGATCGCTAGATGAGACATGCATCCTTCAGCTGTTAATAACGGTAAACTAAGATAGTTTGCAATTGTTTACTTTTATCATAACCCCAATTTCTTTCCAGATCTTTAAAGTCGTTTTAAAGCTAGAAAAGTTTAAACCACGGTAGCTATCATAAGCAATAATGCAACGGAGTGGTTTTTACTTTCCTGTTGGTTCTCAAGGATTGGTTGGAAAAATGTATTATTTTCAGGAATTTTTAATTTATTTTAACAAATGTTATGGTTTTATGTTGTTCATTTTGATATGTGCATATTCAGATGGTCAATTGCCTAATTTATCCTTACAAGTACGTATTACCTTTGCCTTTTATGAATATACCAGTCTAAAACTGAGAATCAAAAACAAAAACAAAATAACTATCAAGGAAAATTATTTAAAATTTTAATTTCTTTTCTATGACAGGTTAGACCTTAAATTCAAATGTCACACTTCTGTGGCTTAGCAACAAGTTATATCCAATGTCTTTTTAAAATGAAAATTTTCTGTGATCTCCTTCCTGGGGTCCTAGTAGGTTGGATCAGGAACAAGGAAAACTATGACTGAAAACTGAAATATTTATGTAAGAATTGCAGCTATTTCTGGCCAATTTTTAAACTGAAAAAATGCCAAATTTGGTAACATAATCTACATTTTTTACAAAGAATTCACCCTTCTCAGCTTTCTTTTGTAGCACCTTTTAAAAAGTAGTGGTTGTCAATGATTTTTTATATTTTGGAAATTCTAAGGTGATCTAATTCCAAAACAGTTTGAACCCCTTAACTCCCAGAAGTGATTGACATGAAACTTCTCTTTATAATATCCTCATATTATCCAGCAAACAGGTTATGAGAATTATCAAACTTATCAGGTGGAAGTGGTTATCTTGATCTTGCACCAAATTCATATAACTAATTTACAAAGAAATGTGTAGTAGCCAGAAGGGAGAATTAACACTAAGATCTTAGGAGTGGGAGGATTAAACTAATTTTAACTTATCATGGTCTTGACACAACTATATTGGATAGTGTGGCATGATAACATGAATGGACAAATCAAACCATAACATGCAAATTCTATGCATTGGTAACTGGTATTTCCCAAATAACCAGGTGACTACCAGAGTTCTGCCAACTACATGATAACATAATATCACTGGTTATTGTGGTCAAAATTATTACCTATTGGCCCTTAATAAAATTTTCACAGTCACCTACTTTTGCAGAGTCTGATGCCTACTTCAAAACATTTTGAAACCCTATGTAAGCTATCATCTAAATGCATTTATGTCTTTTGAATGCTGCACATTTTTATTTCTCTCCTTTTTATCTTTCCACTTTAGTATGCTAGGACTGAAAAAATCCAGAATAACCTTAATCCAGATTTTGCTAAAGGAATTGTGGTGGACTACTACTTTGAGATGGTTCAGAAACTGAAATTTTCAGTTTACGATGTGGATAACGAGACCAGTTCACTGGGAGATGACGATGCTCTGGGTGATATGGAGTGTAATCTTGGGCAGGTAAATCTTCTTTGTTGTTATGTTGCTCAAAGGCTTTCAAATGTCATGAAGAATTTCAGATAATCAGGACTGTTACTGTATCATGACTAAATCAGATTTTTCTCACTAAATAAATAAAGAGTGGAAATTTAGTAAACATTCCCCAAAGTTTTACATGATTAGAGAGAAATAGAGAGGATTTCTATCTGCCAGATGCTTCTCAAATTTTACAACCTTATTGTTGTTAACCACATACAAAATAATTATATGAAAACTTCAGTTATTAGTGTTAAGGATGTGTGTATAGCATTAGTGATAGTGGTTTAATTCATTGCTAAGTTCCAGTCTTGTCTCTGATTGCCAGTGACAGATACTGGTGCCTTCAAATTTTCTGGCGGATGCACTGCATTGGTAAAATCTGTAATGGAAGAGAATCTGAAAATTTTGTGGAACCAACCTTTGACAGAGTGACATTTATACTTGACACATTAGTCAGCTTCCACTATCATGTTAACCCTTTAACTCCCAAGATCTGATTGTTAATTCTCCCTTCTAGCTGATACACATTTCCTTGTAAATTAGTTATGAGAACTTGGTGCTAGATCAAGATAGCAGCCTCTACCTGATAAGTTTGAATATTATCATAACCTGTGTACTGAATAATCTATGGGACATCAAAGGGAGAACTTTAATGTTATTAACCTCTGGGAGTTAAAGGGTTAATTTATTTATGTGTTTGTGTAATATTCTAGGTGGTTTCAAAGAAGTCCTATGCAAGTACACTACAAATCAATGGAAGGCAAGTGGGAACCATTAATGTAAGTACACTGTTATGATCATTGTACAGTGTATGCCAGTTAGGCATATTCAGAATATATAGTGATTAAGAATTTTTGTCTTCTTAGATGAACCCCTTCTCTGTTATGTCTCCTAGGAAGTCCAGTATTAGCCTGCAGAGCAGGTGTAATTTTGGCTTGCAAGCGCTCAATATGCTGCCATCTTTGATTTTAATGGCAGTGGAAGTCTGGGGAGAGAAAGAAATTTGTAATAAGGGGGTGATCAATGGTTAAAAATAAGGAGAGGGGTGGGGTGGAGGAGTGAATATTAGCATGTGTTATTCCAAGGATACTAATTACCTGTAGGTCTCTGAGGGCTTAATATGTTCAGTACATCTTCTACAATGTCAAAGAACCTACCTAGTCAGAGAAAAACTCTCCGTTAATATGAATGCATACAATGTTATGTTAAGATCAGATTTTCGTCGATATTACCTTTTTGCAGGTATATGCAGAAGAATTAAAAGGTGGAAATGAAATAGTTAACCTTACTTTCAGGGCAACAAACCTAGACAACAAGGTACCATGTTATGCTTTCATGATACATACATGCACAGAACTAAACAGTTATTT